GCCACGAAATCTGCACTTCATCCCCGACACCCGCGCCTGCCACGAAATCAATATTTTAAGGTGAACTCCCCGGTGCAAAACTTTCTAACCAAGCAAAGATGCCTCCTCTATCTATCTATCTATCTAATCTAATCTAATCTAATCTAATCTAATCTAATCTAATCTAATCTATCTATCTATCTATCAATTTATCTTTCTATCTTTCTGCAGTTCAACATCCACAAAGTACTGCACCTGCCACGAATCTGCACTTCAAGGTCCACAAAGTCTTGCGCCTGCCACGAAATCTGCACTCCAAGGCCCACAAAGTCCTGCACCTGCCACCAACTCGACTCTACACTTCCACACCCACAAAGTCCTGCATCTGCCACGAAATCTGCACTTCAAGGTCCACAAAGTCCTGCGCCTGCCACAAAATCTGCACTCCAAGGGCCACAAAGTACTACACCTGCCACGAAATCTGCACTTCAAGGCCCACAAAAAGTCCTGCGCCTGCCACAAACTCTGCACTCCAAGGCCCACAAAGTCCTGCACCTGCCACGAAATGTGCTTTGCAAGGTCCACAAAGTACTGCACCTGCCACGAAACACGAAAAACAAAAAAAAATTCCAAAAAAAAAACGAAAAAAAATCCAGAAATATATTCGCAACCGTTCTTTTTAAGGCGTATCAATCTGCAACACCAACAAGAGTTGGTTTCGAACAGAGCGATGGGGTTTCCGTACCACGGCCCTGAAGAGGACATTCTCCTTGATTTTTCCTGGGTTTCACACACCTTGAAATGATATGTTTAAAGCGCTAAGCACAAACGGTTACTGAATAGATTGGCAATGAACAAAATCACACAATGGTCTTGAATGAAAACAATCTTGACGCTTTGCCAAAATTGTCTAGTTGCTACACTGAACCAAATCTCCGCAATGGACATGACGTCCCAGGACATGAACATCCATGGCTCGGCCTTTTGATGCTAGGCCAGGCATGGTTCTCAAAGTGTGCTGTCGGATTCTTTCTTGTGCTTTTCGTTTTGAGAACTGCGGGTTTTTCGTTGGAGTCATCAGGTCTGTACCTTCGAGGTTTGCTGACTAAACACTTGCCAGAATCATGCATTTGAACGGTGGGTGACATTTCCGAACCGTATATATATATATAATATAATTTCAAGTTAACCTTCAGAACGAAAGGTTCGATTGATATGTTGCCAAGGGTAGTGACATATTCATCTTGCGGTCCCCAAATAGATGCAACAGATTTCCAAAAGCCCTCTAAAATACCGGGATGTGCTAATTCATTCATTGCGGCGGACATGAGTTACTAGACTTTTGATTCGGTGGTTGAACAAAGGTGTCGGTTTGGCAGAACTGCCTGACTTGCAGGTGTCGGTCTCCAATCACAGCAGAGGACACCGCGGGTTTGCGGGTTCCGCACAGGGCAAGTTGGGGCAACAAGGGAGGCAGAAAAAGGAGTTGATGGAGGACTGGTTGGGTGCTGGCAGTCTATAGGAATGAGTTGTGGCACTCAGAGTCTTGCCCCATGTGGCCATTCCAAGAAGCTTGGCATGTCTCCGGTTGAGAATGAGGGAGTGTATTAGAAGGAGTGACTTTGGTTGCCTGGTTGCGGGTTCCTTTTCTTTTCGGTAAGACAGATATATATTCAGTTTATGACAAGCTTCTTCAGCAATTGTCTACGGCCCTTACCACTGCAGATGGGGTTAGGGACCAGGGACCCGATGAAAGAGTTTCAGGCCAAGGATGCCTCGTAGAGAATCAGGTCGATGCTTCGTGTGCGTTTTGGCTTTCACAAACTGAAGGCTTCGATAACTGGGCAACTCAAGATTTGCAAGTGATGAGAAGTGAATCAGCAGGTCTATAAAGGAAGCTAATTACTAGTAGCTATTTGCTACTAGTAGCGATGCACTTGTTACTAGTAGCGATGCACTTGCTCCTAAATCAAATGGATTTCGACTTACCCGGACCTGGAACAGGAGATGAACGAATCACCTTGATGATAGGTAGAAACATTTTCGTCTCTGATGGAAGTCTGCTGGGAGGAAGTGGAAAGTCTGCTAGATCTGGAACGCTCTCCAGGCAGTGCAGTCGGGGATTGACGACATGAGATTGTACTTGCAGAGTTGATGGAGCTTTAATAGGATTGACGACACGGCATAGGGTGGTGCTGGCGGTACGCTCTTTTGCTTGCTGCCCGCTGGCACCGCCACACACACAGCCGGCTGGGTTTCCCCAGGCGGCTGCGGCTGGGTCACCATTCGTGATGCTGAGCATTTGCAAGTGGAGATCAGCACAGGCCTCCAACTGGGACGAAACGCACAGGCCAAGATACTTTGGTTTCAACAAGCTTTGTTCTACGAGCGTACCTTCAAGCTGTTCTGTTTAATTGGTCTTTGATCCAGCTGGGGTTGCCGAGAGTCCGATCGTGAAACAGTAAAAATGCCAAGCTTTGAAGGCCATGATGCCTTGGTACTGCGGAGCTTTTTGGTGTTACCAAGTTGGAGCCTCAATACAAAAGTGATGAAGATGGTACTGGTGACCTCTTGCTGGTCTCCAAGCCATCTTTGAGGTGCAGTCCAAGAGCAAATGCGTCATGAATAGACTGGAAGTCTCGACTTCATTGAAATCCTTGCTCGTGGATGGATGAAGTGTTGCCTAGTTTCATGCATGGACTTTCTCTAGTACATTACAGAGCTGGATTCGGATTTCATTGTGTTTCTTTTGATTGGGCTAACGTAGTCCTTGGGTTGTTCTTTATCGATTCCTAGATTGTTTGTTTGCCTCCCAAGCTACATGTGTAGTTCACTTTAGCCAGAGTTCGATGCAGATGCTTTCGCAGTACTGCATGCTATTCTTGGGCTTCTTTTTAGAGAACCAGCTATTGAGATGGTTTTGACGGAGGCACTCCACCAGAGACAGCGACCAAGCTGCTTTTCGACCCTGGTCAGAGGCGAGCTGTGATACTCTTCGCGTCACACAATTGATAGACCTTGAGTCTGGGGCTTTCGATGTGACACGCGGCGTGCAAAGCCTGGAAAGCCTGGTGTGCCAAGACCGTCGCTTCAGGCTGCGGTGGGACCATGCTCTCGAACAGTTTGAAGAGGTGTCGCGGGTTGGTCAGCAGTCCTGATGTGGTTTGTCAGCATCTGGATACGGATTCTTGTGTTACACAGTCTGGAGCCTTGTCCATGTCTTTCATCGATACATGTCTTTCCCAACGACGATTGACACTCACTCAACTGGACGATTTAGCAGGTATCGCCTGCAAGTTCCTCAGAGCAGATTGTGCATCTGCGAACCTGCCCCAGGTCAGGTTCCAAGTGGATGGCAGGGACAGAACGGACATCACTTTAGTCCATCGACCTGCGACTTGTGCCTCTTTCTTTGTGCTTCATGTCTACCGACTTCGGACATTCCTGCAAGGATAGAATCGCACTTGGCCGAGGTTTGGCATCATTCCACCCTGCGATGTCCTCCACCGACGCCGGATGCTTCGCCCCTGCGGCGACGCACATGCTGCGTGGGTCTGCAGAGACGTCGCGTGACCCAGAGACGTGCAGTTTTGAACGGTGTGGGCAGAGGGTGTCAGCTTTTTGCTGGGGTTGATGAGGTTTCTTTTTGAGGCACCCAACATGTCAAAAGAAACAGGTATCAAGTCCCGGTTCGGTGGATGAAGGACATGGGATGACGGCAAATCTGGTCGTTGGGTTGAAGGTAGCCAGCGATTTTCTTTCGTGTGTTTCATGAACAGTGCACAGACTCTGAATCAGGAGACCCTGTACAAAAACATAAGTGTGAAAGCTGATATGTTCAGTGGAAATGTCTCAGCCCAGTTGCCAGTGTTGGCCTTTGTGTACTTGGTCGACCAGTATGGTGATATGTGCGACCAAGCCCCAGCCTGACCAGATGGGAGAAGCGACCAATTGGTCAGGGATTGCTCCTAGTAGTGATGCCAGGAGCCCCTAATAGGGTCCCTGCTCCTAGTAGTATGGCCAGGAGCCCTTAGTAGCTTCTTGCTCCTAGTAGCGATGCCCGGTTCTTCTTGTATAGATTCATCATGTTCGCTCAGTTGTTGTCCTTGAAGAGCGAACATGGTGCGCTCATGGTGCGCAAGCTGGGAGCAGGTGGTGCCCCAGTCGTGGGGCAAAAGTTCAATCACCTTCCGACCATGCGAAGGTGTTGAGCCCACGACATCGACATAGCCCAGACGTCTTTTTCGCTGCTGGCCACCAAGGCTGATGAGCTCCCTCTGTCCCTGGTGAAGGTGTCGCTTGACATGCGGCTGGGCGAAGAATCTATGCATGAAGCCATATGGATGAAATGAGTTGGGAGCATGAGAATGGGGGCTCTCTCACTTGGGCTTCTGGCTTGGTTTTTCTTCCAATGCCTTGTTTCTTACTTTTCTTCTCCGTGAACGGCAGGTGCTTTTCCAGTGAATGGCCTGGGTGCCCGCTCTTGTGCTTAGCTCCTTGCCCAGGTGCTTTCGTTTGGAGAGTGCTGTGCTGGGACACGTGGTGCGATGTGACAAGGAGATGGGACGCCATGGGTTGGTTGTAGGGCCCAGTGAAGGCGTCTTCGGTCGAATTGAGCACAGGATCATGGGGGGCACTGGGGGCACTTGGCGTGTCCAGGGCTCATCTCCACCCTTTTTTTAGAGTGAAGAACTTTGCTCGTCGCCATTTATATACATTCCCGAAAACTAACATAGACCCTGACAATGGCCCCCTTGAAGATGGTTTTCCTCTACCAACCAGTGGTTTTCAGGGTTCATGTAAGTCTTCCAGGGTGTAAGCCATTTGCAGCGTCAGAAGTCATTGGCCCCTCTGCCTCATCTTGAGACTTCGCCGCATGTAGACCATGGTCACCTGATTATGGCGCCGGTGACAAGTCTGGCCGAAACATGTCCAGACGACTCTCAAGTGATGTTCGATCGGGCTTCTCTGGCAGGATGGCTGTAGAGTCTTCACATACGTGCAGATGGAGGCAGAGCGGAGGGTGAACCTGCTCTTTCCGACCTCTGACTGACACCGTATGGTTGGGGTACAATGGTAAGAGCTTGGGCAGATCTGAGCTGATTATCATGGACATGCCTAAATCTGTTGGAGGCAGGATGTTGAACCCTTTGTCCTTACAAAGATGGCTCCAGCAAAAGTGTGTTTGGAAGAGGTGGGTGGCCAAAGGATCACACATGCCCGCAACCAAATTTGCAATCTTTTTGACATGTGGCTTTGTTGCAGGCGACTCCTCTGGTAAGCTTCTTTGGTCAACGTCTGGCTCCTGACATTATTGGAGGCAACGGCCTCAAAATGAGACAATTGACCGGGCTGGATTGTTTTTGATCCCACTGACCTCCGCATTTGACGGCAAAGGCAAGGGGCAAGCCCTTTAAACAATGAGCACTAAGTCAAACCCTTTAAACTTGCGAGAATCCTCCCTGTGAAGCTGTGAGAGACTTTCTTTGTGAGACGGGCGAATCGGTGTTTCAGTGGTTCATCGGGTGTTTCGTCTCGTGTTCTGCCTCAGGCCTGTGCAACACGTTTTCCAGCGCATGCAAGGCGGAACGGTGCTGTGGAGAGCCATGGACGCCTTGGAGACCGGTGAAATTCTTGGTATACATACTTTTTCTTTATTCGATTTTTTTTTCGAAAAAAGTAGCCAGGAGCCAGGGGGTGGGGTAGGCCGAGGATAGAGGAAGAGGTAGCTAGGATGTAGCTATTAAGTAGGAAGCGATCCTACACATGGATGCAGGATCGCTCACGCTCGCACTATTCGTTTGGTTCCTAGATTTTTAGGGACACTTACTTCCTCAAAGGAAATCAAACAACGAGAAAGAGAGGTGCAAGGTCCAACAGCTCTCTTCATGACGGAGTCATGCGTGCAGGAGCACGGGGTCGCCCACAAAGAGGGTGAGTTCTCGGAGAAAGGCAGTTCCGTCAGTGATGTGAAGGTTACGGATGTTCTTCGGCGACAGTCTTGCTTGACACTTAAACTTTTTCCAGTAACTGTTTCGTTGGCAAACTGGAAGCGACTGGAAGCTGCAGGATCCAAAGACTTTTGTGGAAAAACTGACCTTGGACTTGGCTCAATACTAATAGTGCCACTCGTCGTTTGGGACTGGGTGGCGCAGATGAGCTCCCCCAGTGGCCCCTGTGTTTGCGCTTTCTTGGCAGAACCTTTGATTCCAGGCCACTTCCCCACGGAGTTCTATGTTCTCATCGGCCTGTTTAATGCCTGAAGGAGGTATTTTCACGGGCTGAGGCACTTGGTGTCAAAGAAATCGGTGGACTGGCAGAGTGCCCAGCCAAATGACGAATTCAGAAAACTTGTGTACTTTGCGTACTGAACATTGTGCATATCATACTTTGTGGGTGGTCATTTGGGCCCCAACATTCCAATGTTAACGTTCTTGTTGAACTATTTTGGTGAATATGATTTGACCGCGATAGCAAAAAAGCAGACATGGAATGTCGATCATAATTTTGAGGAGCTGTAGATTCGGCAAGCTTTTCTGGCCATCGCAGAGATTGAATGCAACGGCATTCCAAAGAGTCTCAATCCTTGGTGATGCTTCCTAGCAGCGTGCTAGCACACTTTTCTTGGCACATGACAGGATTTGACTCGCGACGATGAGACAGGCATGGACGGAGTGACAGAGTTTTGAGTTGCTTTTCTTGGCCCTGACAAGGAGCCTGGAGGGCACCCAAGGCTTTTCTTGTTTCAGTATCAGGATGAAACTTGTGGAATGGGAGCGACCTGGTAACCTGGTCGATGTGATGCGGAGTGAAAACATTGCTTGCTTCCCCAGGGAACCAAGACCTTGAGAAGTCTTGCTGCTTGTATTTGGACATAGAAACCACCGAACTTGAACTGGAGGGTGGGGCTCGTGGTTCAGGGTCTGCCTCTCCTGCCGCTTCAGCTGAAGCCGACGCTTTGGATCAGGACAAGGTGTGTCCGCCGATACGCAGAGTTGAGAGGGATAAAGGGCCACTCGGTCGTGTAAAGCGAATCTTGACAGCACAAAAGTAGCTTGATTGGCAGGTCAATGTTCTTCTTTTTGGCTAATCACTGCCCTCTAGTGATTTCAGATCAGTGGTGGTGTGGGTTTGCATCCATGCATTCCAATCATGGCGATTCCAACAACTCGGATGTTGGAGGAAGCACACAAACCCACCCAGCAGAGCCCCAACCAACTCAGCCGAGCCCGGTTTTGGCAGTTCACCGTCTCTTCCGCCGGGGGCGGTCAGGAGATGAAACGTCTCTCCTTGGGTTTGGACTTCCTGGGGGCGGTGGATCACAAGAAGCTGGTGCCTGCTGTGTCCGCCTTCCGGCGGATGTTGAAGAGGCCAAGATGGGGGAGACGGGGAGAGATGTCTTCTCACCCAGGCGGACATGGAGACCTGAAAACGATAGACATGGACACCAGGATCTCTCAGCCGGGCCTAAGGACTTCAGAGATACAGCCAGGGTGGGTTTGATGATGATGCACCAATGCAGAGGATTTGTTTGGGGTGTAGACATTCGAGAGACGAATATGCCTGACTGCCCTCTGACAGAGGTTGGATCATGAGAGAGAAATCCACTCAAACCACGCAAAGATGGTGCGATCTACCATGGCATTTTCATGATCCAGCAGCGGAGGCTCCAATTTGGTCAACATGGTTATCATGTTTGAACACCAGAACGTACTCCTGATGCTTTCTTTCGTGAAGCAGGATGTACTGGATGAAGATGACTCTTTCAGAGTGTTTGTCTTATTCTCAAGCACTACAAACTGAGATGGGCCAGCATACTCACCAACTACCACTGCAATTGGCATCCGCAGCCAGATGCCAACTTCAGTTCTGCTAAACTGGTGTTTTCTGCTGTTGGTGGTACTTGGTGGGTAATTGGCATTCGCTTTCCTGCAAGAGTCAGGAAGCGGGGGGGGAATGAAAACTACCCACTGGTACTGGTTGGGAGCGTTTTGATTTGCTTTTGGCGCTGAACTCGTTTCCTGCCCTAACCATGTGTGAATTGAACCACCACTGTGCTGACATCAATTTGGGAAACACCTTTAAACCAGCGGCATATGTTGCTCCCAGGATGGTCTTAATTAAGGCCATCCTGGGAGCAACATCTTGGCACTTGGCTCGATAGCCAGTAGTGGAATGTGTCTTGGGTATACTTCGAATAGTTGGACGCTACTAGGGGCTCCGGGCCTTACTACTAGTAACAAGAAGACACGAACGGAGCAAAGGGCATAGTTGCACCCGTGGCAACCAACCACACGGCCCCTGTGGCCAATGAAAGCTCGAAGAAAGCGCCACCCGTGTTGCGGCGCTTTCCTCGTCACTGACTCGCGCAGACAAACACCGAGTCATTGGGCCCCTGACGTCGAGTTCATCTACGTCGAGCTCATGCTGCCAGCAACGGCATGTCAACGGCATGTCAACGGCCCCTGCAAAGCACTTGGTCGGCGACACTGAGGAGAATGAGAGGGACACTGACGTGTTCGTCTGCGCCTTCGGGGCCAAGCCAATCAATGGCCCAGACGTGAACCAGGATGAGAAATTGGCAAGTGAGTGAGTGCATGTAGCAAAGAGCAGCCTATGGACACATGTATCGCCCAGGCAAGTTGCTCGTGGTCAGAGGGCATCCCGTGTTGGACATGCTTGCTGGTCCGAGGTATCCAATCGTAAAGTGTAGACTGGTAAGAGTGCATTTGTTGTTTACCTTGAAGCATCTTCATTTTCCCGATAGATGGTGTGTCAAGCTTTGCTATGCTTTGCTTAGTTTTTGTCCGACGAACAGCAGGCATTGGATTCATCTCCTGTGCGAAAATGGTTCGTTGGTTGCTTTCTTCCATCTCCACCTGTTTGGGGTTGAATTCGTCCCATGAAGCATTCGTTTGGCAATAGAACTTTGAGCCAGCCACAGACAGAGCGCCACCTCAAGAGGATATACCGCAGGCATGCATCAGAGCTAGTCAGATTGGCTGGGATCAGCCACGATGATGTCGTGACGACCCTGAACCATGAAGCAGACGAAACAAAGATGGGGTTCGCAGGTTCGCATGAAGAGGGCGATGTGTGAAGAACATGCACATGCTGAGGAACTTGTTTCAGACCAACCACATCAGCATTGAACGGAACATTGATACTCACGAGAAAAACTCCATGCTCTTTCCCTCTCTCTCTCTCTTTTCCCAGTTTCTCGGATTGCCACCATCCTGTATAGCGGAACCCTGCGAACCCCCACGGCCCACCGCGAGGTCGTCCCGAACTGCTGCTCGGCAAAAGGACACCCGACTGTGCAGTGGACAGGCTTGTATTGACTGTTAGTGGACTCCTCAAGTATGGGATCACTGGCCAGGACCAGTTTCTAAGTATGCTCGGTCGCATATGCACAAGCACCTGTCGCACCAGCATCACCCTGCTTGTGCACTTTCGTGGACGAAGGGAAATAGGAAGGAGGATCGTCGCTCATCGGAAGGAGAACTTGGCCGAGTCCTCCAAGGTTGAGCTGCCAGCTTCGTTTCTCTTTCCCGAGCTGAAACGGCTTTTCTTTTTCTGCTTATTTGGATATATATATATAGCTTCTGCATTGATAGAACAAGGGCCTGTTTGCTTTAGACTCTTGTAGGACCCATATTGCTTACAATTGTGGAATTGGCCATGAACCAGCTAGGTGCGCCATGAGCACGCAAGACCAGTACCAGGTGGCGAGATCCTCTGTTGACGTTGAAAGGATGTATGTCATCATGATCTATGAGTTTGATCTGCAAAGCTCTTATTCTGAGACTCTTGCATCAAAGGTGCCAAGCCAGGCCGAGCTCAAATCTAGGTACATTATATAATATATAGTAGTAGCTAGTTGGCAGCAAGCGGCAAATCCCAAATGTCTTCTGCCCGTGCTTCTTTAAATAATGCCAGTCAGAAAACAACCACCCTGCACCGCGAGGAGTTTAATGCCTGTTGTTGGCCCAAATTGAAAGTGTCAACTCCGAAGCATGAGCCTCAAATCCTTTGACAAGTATCTTCAGTTGCCGAACTTCAGGGTCTCAGATCTCTGATAGCTGCTGAAGCCCCGCAGAATTGAAACCCAACCGAGCTTTTTGAGACATTTTTTGCCAGGGGAAGAAGAGGAATCCACCAGGCGGGAAGCGGAGCCTGACAGAATGAGAGAGGTGAACCATTCTCCAGGTCCAAATTTGCAACCGATCATTCTGGGACTTCAGGAAGGATTAGATTAGATTAGATGAGAACGCATGTTCTGGCTGGTTTTTGGTCGACCACCTTGTGCAAACGGATAAATTTATATAGCTAACAACCCGTCTTCCTAGATCTATCGATTGGTTTTCTCGGGAGGCTGTTGCTGGGGTTGACTTGGAAAAGCTGGCAAAGCTCTTCCACCTCATGTGGTCCTGAATCTCTGAGGTCTGTGAAAAAGTATTCAGTCCCCATAGCCACCTAAAGACTAATAGACATGATGAAGACATGAGCATTCCCGTTCTCTTGGTATGCCAGAAACCAGCACCGATGGTCAAAGGCGACGGCGGAGCAGTGCCCGTGTTTCCTGGCTGGATTTAGTACATGAGATCATGAGACCATTGAACGACGGTGATTTTCAAGGGTCTTATTGAGTTTGAAGTGGGTGGATGAAGCATGGCGCCATGCCGTTTAGGTGTTTAGCCCAAACTTCTCAACGAGATCATATCTGCCGAATGGGTTGCTAGTGGCATGGATGGCTCAGGAAAAAAGCCGAGAGAGGCAAAGAGGCTCCATGGCAGGGCTCTCAATTATGACACAGTTAAGCCAGTCTTTGTTTTCTCATCTACGTCACCTATGAAAAACCAGCTCTAGACCGTAGTTTTCAAGAAAATTTCATGGCATACAGTCTGATGAGGAAGTGGTCGCCGAGCGCCTGGGCGAGGTCGTCCGATCCCGCAGGAGCTCGTGCCCCGGTGCGGTGGCCACACCGTGTGGTGTGGAGAGTTAGATCCAGTAGTACCGGATTTGACCCGTGGTCACAACAGAGTGATCGAAGTCTTTTTGATAGGAGTGCAGAGTTTATGGTTTAGTCCTTTCTAGCAAGCTCTGCATGTGGTTTTTGTGCTAGTCACTGCCATGCAATAAGAGGATGTCTCTCTTTAGATCAACCGGCTTCCCCTCTTCACATGACTTCGCACTTCCTGTTTACTCTTTTCGCAGTCAGCAGGAGTAGCCAGCAGGAGAAAACTACAGTTGATGTACACACTTAGAGTGGAAATGATTGGAATCCCCTTGTCCTTGGGTTCATGGTGGATTGGGTATCCCATTTGCGTTGCGTTGTGTGCGATTCTGTCACCTGACAGCATGATGTTCTGTTGGTGTCAAGCTGCTGCGTGGGGAGGACTGGTCGAGACTCTGCCTTGGCAGCCGAGACTCCCAGAGCAAGCAGTTCGGTCATGTTTCTTTTGGACACCGAACCTGGAACTTCTGCGTGCCATCGGACAGTGCCATCGGACAGGGAACTTCTTCGTTTGGACTTGACCGACTGAACACTCGAGCGACTGAACACTCAGTCGGTATCAGTCCATGAGTCGTTGGACGTCGTGGACATCAATCGCCTGTCGCCGGACCTTTCAGCGTCGAGCTCTGGCCGGACCTTCCGGCGGTTTGTTCCGCATGGGGCAAAGCACCATGATATCCCTAGGACCTAGGAAAGGAGAAGTGACATGGGAAAAGGGTCTCATGGGTAGCAGGGTAGCAACAATACATGCTACGAGAGCTGAGAGGATGTGCTTTGAGAGTTCTTTTGAGTCATGCCTAAGCCGAATGCTCTGAAAAACCACGGGGACCATGGATCCGGAGGGTCGCAGAACCAAAAAAGTCCATGTGACGACTAGGTCGCTTGGGCCCCAAGATGACATGTTAGCCTCACATGATTTCTGATTCACAGCACAGCTGGATCTTTCTTGGCATGTGATTTTTACTGACCGTTTGCCATGGCCAGCGATGCCTTGCATGTAATTCAAGACTTGCAGGTGAAGCTCCGCCGGACCTCTCAAGAGGTCCAGAGGCAAAAAGAGAATGTGGCTGAAGCGGAGGCTGCCCTGAGGCATCAAGCGCAGCGACATGAGGCAGCGAGGGCTTTGCATGAGGAGACCTTCCGTCGCCTGCAGGTGAGGGAAACAAAGTCAAACAAAAGATCAAACGGTGTATTATTCGTTCTTATTTTTGGTATTTTTTCTGTTTCACACAGGATAGTCGGATAGAGAGTGTTCTCAACTCCCTTTCACGACGCTGTCCAGATCACAACCCTTCCTGGTCGAATCTACCCTTCCTAAGGCTATTCTTTGGCATCTTGGTGATTGGAAGAGTTTCAGACCAAAATCACAGTGTCCCCCTTTTGCCGTTCGAACAACGGTTTTTCAACGACCTGGAACCAGGTGGCCTTCCAAGAGCGAGACGCCGAGTGTGCCACCACGGAGCACATGAGCCGTCAACTGGCCGCCGCCCATGGGGAGCTGCAGCGCCAGGAGCACCGGCGCCACGCGGAGCGCGTGGCCTTCGTGTCGCGCGAGGTGCACGCAGCGGCGGAGGCGGAGCTGAAGTTCCTCCAAGACGAGGTGGAGAAGGCCATGGAGAGGAAGGTGGTCTTGGAGCGAAGTTTGGAGGAAATGAAGGAGGCCAAGGTGAGACGTGATGAGCTCATCCGAGACAAGGCGGCGCAAGAAAGTGGGAAGGAACAGAAGGAGGCGATCTCCGAAGCGATCCGAAAAGGTAAAGCCTTGTCGAGCAGGGCGGTGGCTGAGGAACAGGCACGAGCTGTTCGAGCTCAGAGATCTGGTGCTCGACAGTTGCTCAAAGAGAAAGAATCGATTGAGGCCCAGCTGGAGGAGACCTATAAACAAAGTGCTTCCATTGAAGAACGCCTGGAAGGGCTACGTGAGCAAAACCGTAGGGCTGAATCTCAATTGATCCGCAACAAGGAACAATTTGAGAAAGAGAGGAAGCAAAAGCTCTCTGAGATGCGGAAGCAGTCTGCAGCCTTCCGAACCTTTGCTTCGTTGCTGGAAGAAGGATGTTTAGATCATCAAAGTCCTGAGAGGTGACCAAGGCCATGACCCGACGACCCGACCCTGCTTCTCGAATGTCTGCTTCTCGCACCTGCTTCTCGCCCGCCCGTCTCACCAGATGAAGTGTGTGAGAAGTGGGCTCGCATGCAGTGTACTTACTGTTTGTAGGAAGGCAGCTTCTCAAGACTCGGAGAAAGAAAAGAAACTCAATTCAAGATGTGATTTTTCTACTCTTTTCTCTTCTTGTGCCATGTGCCTTATCTTATTCTTGACACTTAGTCTCTGATGTCGTGCTGAGGTGGTTCCTGAGGAAGATGACGTCAAAACACCTGACGTCAAGTGTGAGGCAGAAGACGCCATCCTTCTGGTAGTTTGGAATCATTGTCCAGACTTACAGTATCCACGGAGGCTTACTCCATCCAATTTCACTGCAGGGCTAGGACTAAGGCCTCAAACAGGCCTAGGAGTGAATACACCCAAACCCACTGCTCTTGAGCGAATGAACTGAAGAGGTGCACGAGAAATCGGACACCAAGGAGGCGGGATTGAGAACCTCTGGGAGGGACCTTGCGGTCAGAGGGGTCAGCTGGCTTCAGCTTGATGGTTGGACCAGGTGAAGTTTGGATGTAGATGATGTAGTAGAGTGTGATGTTGTATCATCCAAACGACCAAGCAGGGGGATTGTTGATGTATTTCCCTGAAAGTGGCGGCATGCGCCCTGACTTTCATTAGGCTTCAAGCTGTCAGCTTGGCCCCTTCTCTCCATTTACGCCAAGTGCAGGTGCGGAAACGCTTCTCCTTGCCACTGCCGGCGAGAAGGACAATACCTTCAGATCTTGATGCCTAGCTGACCAGGTTCAGATGTGTGAACATGCACCATTCTTCCTTGGCTCCAAATTTTGTTCTCAGACGGAAGGGTTAAACGGGCTGGATTCTTCTAAAACGTTGTTTGCATGCAGGAAATCTGGCAGCGTGAACGGCACGGATTCGGAGGCACGAGCAAGTGGAGCAAGTGAGCATCATGGGAAAATACCAGATGGAGTTCCATCCTCCAACCACTTGGCAGACTGGTGAGACCACTTGGCGGGGGCAGACTTGTGAGCTGAGATCAGCTGCGATCTGATGGCATCCACCCTAAGAGAGCTCTGCGCCACTCTTCCAGGACAGCATGTCCTCCGCCGGTGTCAGCGATACCAGCCACAGCAGCCGAACGCGGAGTGGCTCGAGCGGATGTGGGGAATGTGGGCAGGTTCATGTGTCGAGGCTGACAGGTTCATGGTGAAGCAAGTTTTTTTGAGTGGCCCGTCCCAGCCCTGTGAGTTTTCTTGGGGAAACCGAGAGATACTGTAAACCCGCCATTTTTGGAAGCTGCAATCAGATGCTTCAAGGCTTCAAGTATTGACTGAGTCGACATTCCTTCGGTGGGGTAATTCTTGAAGTCTCCAAGGGAGTTTGTTCTGGGGCTTTTCCATGACGAAATAGAGCCGTTCCAATCTTGAAAGCAACTTGAGCATCTCCTGCTTCGGAACAGTCTGCACATCCTGTTCTCTTTCAGCCCCGCAATACTCAGGGAGCAGTGGCTCGGGCACAGCAGCCGCAGACTGAGGATCCAGTTCTGACTTGCTCTTTTACCCGACACCAGAGCACGAGTCAGCCTGATGTTGTTCTTGGAATTTTGACGTCGATAGTATTGGCCTTGGAGAACTTCCAACTCCTTCAGGCGACTTCAACCATCGTTGGCCTTTTACTATTGTTTGGTTGAAGCCATAGAGGGGATACCCTTTAAGTGTACCACGAATGGGTGACCTTGGTATATGGATGGTGACCGTGCTATGAAACCGACCCCTCCGAAACTCTCAGGGTCGGACGTCAAGCGACGAAGATGCCAACTCCTTCAGGCCTTAGATGCCATTTTCGAGCGAGCACGTGCCAGTGCCGTGCCCGAAGGCGGAGCTAACTGGGGCCGTGGGTGCGCTTCTTTCTCCGGGTGGGCGGTGTTTTTTTTTTTTCCTCGTCCTTTCCGGAGAACAGCATTCAGTACTTCAGGACTTGGCCAAGTCGACATGAATTTTGGTTTCAACGGTAGTTCCGCTCCCTCTCCCTCTCTCTAGACTCAAGATCCCCCTGCAATTCGCAACATTGAAACGCTACATCGAAACGCACAGTTGTCGCTCGATTGAAGGTGTACGGTGAGATTTTGCGGGTTCCAATCCCCTTTTCATGTTTGACACGTAGACCATCGGCCTGTTTCAGGTGCTTCGGCTGGGATGGAACACAGACTCGAAGTGTTTCAACACGCCTTACATTCCTTAAAACTAAAATCAGAAATGGCCCCTTCCTTCCGCCCGTTGCATTTTGAACATCTGCTGGGTGATCTTCACGTTTGGCTGTTTGGGATGGTGGTCTCAATTCGCAAGCGCCCAGGCTCGTTGTCCACCACGGCCTCCTCCAGGGGCTCCAGTCCACGCCTGACCTCAGGTGAAGACCTGAGGAGTGTTAAACACGCCATTGAATGGGTGATTTCAAGACCAGCTGAAGTTAGAGTTCATTTCATTTCATTTCAATTCATTTCATATTTCATTTCATTTCATTTCACTAGAACTTACTGGTGAAAACCAGTAAGTCTCTCCAGTGAACACCGTGCGTTTCACCAGCAGGTTTGGGTTTCATGGGTCTTCATCGCTCTCTCTGGATTTCCCCGATGTGGACTTGGGAGCAGAATGTGGACGTCAGGCTCTGACGTCTGAAGGATTTGTATTTCCCGTTGCCATGCTGTTGGAGGTCGATTCTGCGTCGACTCCTATCATCCACATCCACATGGGTAGCTCAAAACCCTCACTTTCTGCAGCCAGCCAAAGGCTTGCATGGGATTTTGGCGGCCTCAATCAACCCGTCAGGGAGGATTTCCCTTGGGTGCAAGCTTTTTGTATTCTTCTCAATACTTGAGGGTTTAGCATGGGGAAGCGGATACTTGCCACTTGTAACTGGGGTTATTGGATCGAACCAGTCCATGTTGTGACCAGACATTGGGATTGTTCGCTCCACAAAGAGTTTTACGAGAGGCAAGCAATTCATAGTGGATGTAACAGCGCCAGGTGAGTTTTGCAGAGCATTTTGCTCTGCTTGTCTCCACTTCTCTCTTATACATCGTTTCTATCTTTCTCTTTCATGCGCTTTCTACTTATCTCTACTTATTTGTTTTTTGTTTACTACTTCTCTTGGCCTTCCTGCCACTTACTTTCCTATCGCTTCTCTATCTACTTCCCCTATTCAGCCTGACTTGGCTCTACTTGTCTTTACCTCTCTCTCTCTCTATCTCTCTCTCTCTACTTTTCTCCTCCCTCACTCTCTCTCTCTCTCTACCTTCTTTCAGCTTTTGAGTGCTCTCGCTGCTTTTCTCTAGGCTTCTCTCTACTAGTTACTAGTTGACGTAACATAGCCATTCCAGTGGGGAAGTACGAACGTCCTGCAAAAATGTTCCTCCAAGCCGGAGGAACCACGCGGGGACCTCTCCTGTCGCGCCTCGTTTCGTGTCCACAACACGCCATGGTTCCCTTCTTCCAAAAGGTCTTGGGGAGGTCTCCCCATTTAAAGAGTGTGGCTCTCCCAGGTGCAATCGAGTCGCCCAAACCGAGCTTGGCGGGAGCAGCTTGGGTGCCTCGGCACTCGTGGGCACTCTCTTCTTTTGGGGGGTTGCGTTCTTTGGAGTGCTTGGAAGGCCCGGTCCCGTAATAAGAACCACCTTGATTGACGAGCGGAAGATGGTGATTGTTGAAGACCTTTCCATTGACGGTTTTTTTGGTTGACGTCTCAAGTGTTTTCTTTCACATCTGCAGTGGTCGGCCCACCGGGCCCACCGGTGCTTTGGATACGGGAGCCTCATGGTTCTCTTCCCACTGGGAAACACACCATTTTTTCATTGCAATGCGAACTACTGAGGTTGATCCCAGTGAACTGCAGGTGGTCGGTTGCTGTCGAGTTTCGACTCTGAGCATCGCCGCGAGGTACTGATGCAGTTGTGTAAGCAAGAGCCCTCCATCGAGGATCGAGCAAGCAGTCTTGGCAGGTTGTGGAAGCTTTGTGCTTTTTTCCTGTTGCTTGCAGAGAAGCTCAATCATTAGGGTGTTTAAGCCTTCAGTTGGTACATTTTCCACTTGCCCCTTTTCACTGGGCAATCGTGTTTTATCTAGCCAGGTCAGATTTGTTGGTGCCAAGACCGCTCTGATTGGCCGTAGTGCTTGTCCTGTCAGATTCAATTGTGTGGCCTTCTAGCTGAAGTGTAGCAGATATATTTGGCACCCAACCAGAAAAAACAAAGCTCACTTTTCAGTGATATCAGCCAGTCAGAAATTTGAGACCCATGGAGTCACTACAACCAACCAGGAAGCAGCAGAGACCCAGGCACGAGAGATGGGATGCACGTGAGATGCGGAAGTCTTTGTGTCTAGATGATGGAGCTTCTTTTGGCTTTCCGATGTGGGTTCGGATGGGGTGGTGGGCTGCTGCTGGCCCCCTCCGAGTGCGAGTGTCTTCTGTGGGTGGAGTGGGTGGTGTCGAGGTGGTGGCGACCCGGCACACTTCGAGAAGTTCGTTGATCTCCACAGAGGCGTTGGGACTTTTTCTGTGGGATGCATGGAGGGAGGGCCAATAGGGACCCTGTGTGACATGCTTTCAGAATCTGCATGAAAACGCCCTCTTGGAGCTGGCGGTTTTTGTTTGCAAACCACTCTACAAGATGTAGACCTAGACCTACTGTAGGTCTTCATGGTCTTCCGTTGAGAGATGTTTTGGACATGATCGCGGCGATCGAGTGCCAAGGCCTTCAAGTTCTGCTTCCCGCAGGAGTGGTCCGTAGCGGTCCGATGGAAAAGCCGACGGTGAGCACGCAGCGCTTTTTTGCAAGTTGGTGAAGAGGGTGTTGGTTTCTTTGTGACGAATGTGCATATTTAAGTGTGAGTGTCATTCAGTGTCGGCATTGAGGGTTGTTCATAGTTTGGATGCTGTGGGCACGTAGCTAAAGAGTTTTTAGTCATCGTTTCTCTGAATGGAAGCCCAATGTCACTTACAGTAGTATCTCTAAGAACTGATGTGGGATTTCAATCAAGCAGAATGGGGCACTGTTACCGAGCAGTATACTCAGCGAATGAGCTTGGATTGCATTTTTGTTGGCGATTGCTGCTAGGAAGAATATGGTCATTCTTGCTCCGCGTGTCAGACACGTGACGGTCTTCATTCCAAAATCTTTCCCTCAAACTAACATACCACCTGAGGGAAAAGCAAAGCTTAGAAGGTTTTCCACCTGTAAAACCACCTAAGGTGTCAGCGGAAAAGCTTCCGACCTTCTAATTCTCCTGCCTGCCGACAGATGGGCCGGACGAATCCTTTGGACATGCGATTCTATGATTCTATACGGTGGCCCAACGATGGATTTCTGCTTGGCAGGACATTTGTGGTGTTCCACTGGAACCAAAGTCTACCATCAAGGAGGGGCAGTCGATCGTCTGAGAGTCAGTCTACCATCGTTGGGTTCCCACGAGTCGTCGTGGCATCGAGTCGTTTGAGGGTTCTACTGACCGAAGTGGTTGACATCATTCTTTTTTGGTCTCAGTAAAATACCAAGTGGTTCTTCCAGACAGTTGTTTGTGGGTTGTGCTCTTCCAATAGACATGGCAAAAGTTATGAATCTAAGCCAATCCACATGGCAAACCCTCCAGAATTCGTGTCGATTTGTTCCCAGCTGATCGAACTGTTAGGTTTTAGCCATGGGCCATGGGCCATGGGGTTGACGTATTTCCTCGCTTGGTTCTGAGCAAGGGCAAAGTTGGGTTGAACCTTTTTAAGTTTCTTGGGATCCAGCCAACCAGGCGAAATGAAATAAGATGAGTTCAATCGTGTGCCATCCTTGTTGTCACTAGCCCTGTGTCGACCCTTGTTGTCGCAGACGGAGGAGCCTGATCGATGGAAGCGTGGACGTCGGAAGAGAGCTGCTTGAGGCACGGTATCCGTGGAGAACACCAGAAGGGCACCGAAGGCCAGGTCTTCTGAAGTCCTTCTTCAATTCAGGACTGTTTACACTGAAGATGCTGAGCAACTGAGGTTGACCATTGGCATTTTCCTGGTCAGATGAATTCCGTCTTCACATGTTTGTTTGTCCTTTTTAGGAAAGGAGGCCTGAGGCTAAACCGGTCGCAAAGACGGGTCTTAAGACTGGTCGCTTCACCGAGAAGAATCGCTGGCTGTTTCTTTTTTTTGCAGTATTTGCAAACTCTTTTTGCTCATAGGATGGAGGAGTACTAGACAAAGGCTTACTGCAATATGGACAAACAATACATAACGGGATTGATCACGTTGTTTGCCGTTGTAGCATGCATGTGAATTCTCGAACGACCCAAGCTTGATGCTCAAAGAGGTAGGGGCAGGCTGCAGGTGGGTGAGATTACGGTGATCGTCAGTTATCCTCCACTGTTAATGTTCGATGCCCACGTGCTCACACCAATGGCTACACAACAATGGCTGCACAACTCAGGCTCATTGCCTGAAGGTGTGCATGTAAAGCTTGTGTACTGTTTGTCTCATGAAGTTTCTTGCTGAGGCCACTGGGAGCAAACCTGTAGTCCACCAGCAGTCATAGGCAATGCCAGGGTTGGCACAGCAGGACCAAGTCCTTGACAGCTGCGCATTTTTCTTTAACTCAGTGCCGCGGCTACAGGAGTAAGATGAACAGTCATGATGCCCGACATGGCAGAAAGACCCGGCTAGACCGCCCTGAACTGCAGCACCTCTTGTAGCACTACGGGGATCTTCTCGGTCTTCCCCAAACACCGACTTGAGTTGACATTGTCGCTTTGCACTGGCGGCTTTGCCGACGACTTCGTGCTGCCCATGGAAGATCCCCGGCCGGAGAGGTATGCCTTGGTGATTTGCGATGCATCCCGGTGCACCAGATACAGATGCTGCTGGGGGGATGCCCACACGCTGGTTGGGTTCATTCCGCCTGTGAAATCAATTCTTTCCTACCAGCGCATGTTGATGTACAGCACATGTTGATGCGACAAGATGGGAGTCGAGAAGGCTCATGCAACATTGGGGTTCAGGCTTGAAACCCATGGGAGTGGATGAAATACCATGCAATACCCAGTTCCACACGGTGCCCAGATACGCGTTTTCACCAAGGCACAGCCAGATCTGCTGAGTTCTCTCACAGAGGCCACTGGAACACCGCTAGTGTCGCAGGAATCGAGGATTGGGTCGACCCCCCCCCCAGCGTTTGGGGGTTGATATATTGTCCTTGGGAACCATCCGCGACGATCTTCCTGAAGTTTGTGTGATAGATCATTGAGCTAAATCAGCTCATTGAGGTGCTCCCAGCTTCTTGTTACTAGTAGTAAGGCCAGGAGCCCCTAGTAGCGTCCTTGCACCTAGTAGCGATGCCAGGAGCGACAAAGGTTGGGATAGATAGATCACCAGCCGATCACCAGCGCCTCCAGGAGCAGCGTGTTTCGCTCCTGCAGCACCTTCATGAGCTGCTTGAGGTGATGGGATTGGGCGAGTCGATTGAGCTGCTGGGTTCGTGGTTCCCGAGAAAAAGCACTCAGAGCTGGTTCGTTGTTCCCAGCTTTGGTTGCAAATCTTCAGTAAAACTTGTTGAACAACCCCAAATCATCCCCAAGTTAGCTGTTCGATCTGCCCACCATGGATCAGGGCGCTCGACGGCAGAAATGGCTCATCATATTTACTGGCTTGCGCTTCCAATCCGGCTATGTGTCATGGCAGCAGAGAAAAAGACGCTAGAGTGATCTCTAGATGTATTTTCACTCCATGTAATATGTATACTTTGTACCTTGCACATAGTAGGATGTCATGTCACCTTGACTTCGCAGCTCGCGGCCCAAAACAGGAGTTGCAGCTTAACGGCTGTTTCTATAGGTTATCAGCCGTAGTGCTCTAACCGCAGCCATGGACGCTCTTGCTATTCCTGGGAACGGTGCATCATCGGTAGCTGTTCCAGCCGGTCTCATGACTGAGCCCACAGTGGATCTAGATGACCCCATGGGTTCAGCTCCTGTCACAGCTTACTTTCAGTTTGTGCAGCAAAACATTCAACAAGTGTACAACGGAAATGAAGATGCTATTATTGCTGAGGCAGAGAGAAGGCACAAAGAGATAATGGGACAATGGTTGGAAATGGTAAAAACCAAGTTTCGTCAAGCAATCGATGAAGTAGCGAGCAAGCATCATGAGGAACTCAGTTCGGTAAGGCAGCAAGCTCAATCTAGCTACAACCAAGTGCAAGGGGAACTTAGCGCTGCAAAGGCGCGGATCCTAAAGCTAGAGAGTGAAAGGTCCATCGAGGCTGAAGCCAGAAAAGCAGAACTGGACTCCTTGCGCATCCAGCTCATGCACGATTGTCAGCAAACTGTCACTGCCATCACCAGCAGTGCCGAGCAAGGTGTGGCAACGCTTCGTGCAGAGTTTGATGAGCGGGAAACTCAGCTTCGACGTGAGCTACGCGACGCAGAAAATGAAAACTATAGCCTGCAGCAAATGCTCGATGACCTTAAAGCCAAAGTGCCTGCTGAACCCGAGCTAGAGTACCGTCCAACAAGTGTCATGAACACGCCAGTGTCTACCCCTAGGCATGATGACACTAGGAAGAAAAATCCTCTGGAGACCATTGCAGCAGAGGCTACTGCACGTTTGAGTGGCCTGTTCGCACCCAAAGCGCCGACGGCCACCATCATTGGTGATGCCCCACCAGGGGCAGCTGCTCCTATCAAGCCTGTGCTTCCAGTTCATGGAGGTACAGCAGCGGATGGGGGCAAAACACCAACACATATGTTCCATAGCCCTGCACCTTCAATTCGCGAACCCCATAAGCCAGCGTCATCAGGTGCTATCACCTCTGAGCAGGTGATCGAATTGGTCAAGTCACTCACTCAAAGAGAGTCAGATGAGAAGCCAAAGGTAAAGGAGGCAGATCACATCAAGTTGAATGATATGCCAACCCCCGAAACCTATCGGCAATGGAAACATCATGTGAGGGACGAAATCAAGTCATGTTCTGACAAACCAGATGCAGCCTGGGACTGGTTAATGGAGGTTTACAACACTGTCGATGAGAGGAAAGTTCTGGAAGAGCGGTTGTCTAACCCTGGGAAGTTCACAACGTTGGATACCAAGTTGGCAGCTGCGCTGACCAGAAGTGCAAAGGGTGATCTAGCAAACCGGATCATCAATTACAAAGAAGAGAAGGCAAAGCTAGGCATCCAGGTTCGAGGTAGGATGATTCTTCTCATGTTCGACGACTATCTCAAGACCTCAGAAGAAGCGGGTAGCCTTTACAGGGTTGAAGATCTCCTCAATGTGATAAAGGTAGGCGATACTGTAGCAGACTTGAAGCGTTTCATCAACCGCTGGGACGCTACCATCGCTGGTATGCCCGAACCACCGCACGAAAACGTGCTTCGAGACATCCTTTTGAGGCAGATCCGCACTAGCACAATCCTAAGGTACGACATTGACCTTTTCGATCGTGCAAAAGAGGGTGACCATCATCGGTCTTACAAGTTTCTACTGCAGAGCATCAAGGATCTGATAGATCGGGAACGCCTTCGTGAGAATCGATCGCGTATCGCGGAGCGAAATCGGCTCAAGCCAGGTGATCGACATGAGAAGAACGCCGCCCCTACTGTTGATCCTCGGCGAAAGCGTTCGCCATCGCGCGGACGATCCACTACTCGGGAGAAGGGTGTTTGTTGGGCCTTTTTGGAGGGAAAGTGTGCAAAAGGGAAAGATTGCAAGTTCAAGCATGAAAAGCCCAAGCGTGATCCTTCCAAGAAGCGCCAACCATCCTGGGAGCGGAATGAGTCGAGGGACAAAAGCACAGATAAGGAGAAGAAGCGGATGACTAAGGAAGAGATGGCGAAGACCCCATGCAGGTACGATCAACAAGGTACATGCAGAAGAGGAGACAAGTGCTTTTTCAAACATGGTGAAAAGGCAGCGCCGGCTCCGAAAACGAAGCCTAGAAAGGACTCCCCCAAGCCAAAGGCAAAAGGAGATACCAAGAAGGCTGCAATTTGCCTGAGCAATCGGTTTGCATGTCTTGCGACTGGTGTGCCCGGACGATCATGTCTCAAGAAGTCCTGTCTTTCTCCATCAAGAAAGAGGTCCAAGTCGTCTGTCCGAAGAACCACATTTGTTATGAAACCTGAAATTCGCACAATCCCTGCTCGCGGGGAACACTGCAAGATGGTCAAGCGTGAGCGCAAGTACAGTGTGCATTTTGCCACGAGCGATCGCGTGCCCAAGAGCGACCCAAAGGCAGCCCACATGGCCAAAGTAAAAGCTAGGCAGTTGGCTGAAGTTGTCCGAAGCTTTGACAGCGCAACAGTGCCCTCATGTCGTTTTCTGTGCACAGAATCATCGCTTACTGGTCGTGAGTGTCGAAGCTTGATCAAGTTGAAAACATGTCCTACTACCATCCCAACTGTAGTCGCTGGTCCAGCACCAAGGGAAGGCAGGTTCTCGTGGCTCGTCGATTCTGGGAGTGAGCAAGACCTCCTCAGCAGAAAAGTCATGGAAGCTGCTGGTGCGGAGAACCCAAGACGGGCTCCTCACACCATCAGTCTGATTACTGCAAATGGGTCGACTGAAGCCAGCGAGGTAGCTGATGTCAAGATGAAGCAGCTACTTGAGCCTTGTACGCCGTATTTGCTGGATGAATGCCCTGCTGTGCTCTCAGTTGGCATCAAATGCCTTGACCAAGGGTATAGTTTCGTGTGGCCAGCAAACGGTACACCAATCCTTGTGCGACCAGATGAGAAAATCGTTCAACTTCGCGTTGACGGTCATGTCCCAGTCCTCGACTCCGAGTGCAAAGTCTTCGGGAAGGGCAAGTTCAAGAAGGACAAGCCTTTGAAGAAGCTGTTTGCAATGCCGGGAGCAATCTCGAGCCCGTCGGATAAGAAAGAGGATGAGGGCATTGACGAGGAAGTGCCAGACGACGAAGAGAGCCGTTTGGTGCGATCAAGAAAAGTCGGAGACTTAATGCGTGAAGCACAGTCCGCAAAACACCAGTATCACCACTTCCCCAAGAACCCATTCTGCAAAGTGTGCCAGCGAGCGAGGATGCTTGCACCACAGGCACGAAAGAAAGGGGGTGAGAGCCGCATTCAGACTAAGGCCTTTGGTGATCATTTGATCGCCGACCACGTCGTCGTGCGCGCGAACATCGAAGAAGGGAGTCGTGGTGAACGGGTAGCGTTGGTTGTGAAAGACCTGCATACAAAGTTCCGGAGTATTTACCCATCCCAGTCAAAGAGTTCGGATGAGGTAGTGATTGCTCTTCAGCATTTTGTTGCCCCGGATGATGCAGTCGAGGTCATTTACACCGACAATTCCCGTGAGCTGATAGCTGGCATCAAGGAGTTAGGGTATCGCCACCAAACCTCCGTTGAGTACGTGGACTCCTCCAAGAGCTTCATTGAAAGGGAAGTTAGGAACATGCTTGAGGGAGCACGCACCAATCTTGTTCAGTCCGGAATGCCCCTCCAGTACTGGCCACTCGCCATTCAACATTTTGCAATGGCAACGAATACGAGTGATCAGCTGGACTCATCTCCAAGCCCATGGGAACTGCGTTTTGGAGAGATGTTCGAAGGCATGGCCATTCCGTTTGGTGCAAAAGTCCTATTCTGGAACAACCCCAATCGAGCCGACAATACAGCAGGAAAGCTGTCGCCCACTTCGGTGGAAGGTGTGTTTCTCGGTTACCATGTACAGCCAGGACACAAGTGGCGTGGGGAGTACCTAGTTGCTAAGTTGGAAGCACTAGACTACCATGTTGAACACAACAGTTTGACGATCCAGAGGACAAAGAAAATTGAGCTCCTTCCAGGCGGTTTTAGTTTTCCGTTGCGTGTCAAACAAGATCGTAAGGAAGCTATCCCTGATGACCCAAAGCTCAACCTCATCGAGTCTCCCAATCCGATTCCACTTGCGGACGCTGACCTTGCAGAGTACACTCCATCCGAAGCCCCAGAAGGTGAACTTGATCAGGGGGGTGCGGAACCTGAAATCGAAGTCACGGCAGCCGACAAAGCCGAGGACTACAAGCCCGACACTACGCCGGCCGGGGTCCCCATTCCTGAAGGTTACCATTGGGATGGTCTTCGAGTGGTGAAGACGTACAAAGGCAGCAAACGCCCCAAGGACATTCCATCGGATTATTGGAAAACGCTCGGCCCAAAAGATCGAGCAAAGTTGCTGAAAGAAATGGACGAAGCAAAGTCATCCTCCAGCAAAGGTCTAAAGACCACAAGTCCAGCGACTTCTTCTCAGCTCGGTTCATGCCGAAGCCCTTGTGCTACGGACACAAGTACCAGCTGGGAAGCCGTGCCCACACCGCAGTTGAAGTTTGGAGCACCTGCAATGCCGCGGAAAGTGCTTGATCAACCTGAGCCGCATCGGCTTCCGATCCGGGAGCTCATCGCACAGCGCATCAAGCAAATCGAATTCCAAATCGCATTCGAGCTTTTCTGTGCAGTTGCCAGGCTCGTTCCTCGCGATGAGGTTTCTCGAACTCCGAAGGCCAAAGCAGCGTTGGACGCTGAGTGGGAGCGACTAAGAGCCAAGGGAACATGGGATGAAGCCCGTGTTCAGGAGTGCCGAAAGGTCGTTAGTGAGGCACACCGCAAGGGAGAGACTGTCCATCTCGGCCGCATTTTTGAAGCGTGCTACGAGAAGGGCAGTGAGCTTGA